AATTTTCAAACGCTGGTATTCTTACTTATTTTTCATTTAATTATATTATAATTTAAACTGCTCTAACATTCCGGCCCCGTTGAAGGTCTAAGGGCTTAAACTATTGGTAACACTACCACCTTGTGTATTGGGTATTGCGGTCGGCGTGCGGATCTCCGCCACGCGTACTTTAAAGTCTTCGCCGATTTTTAGGTGGTATATTGTCCTCGTTTAACAGAACGAGGCATCCTGTTTCCAAGTCGGGCCAGTCCTTGGACCATTGTGTGTGGTGCTGCAGAGTGGCCAGGTAGTCACTGGACCAAGACCGCCAAAACCGTTTTAAATTCGCGAAGCTCGCCGTGCTGTTGGTTTCGTCTAGACCAGATACGCGCGGCAGCGAAAAAAGAGGCTGGCCGAATAGCACGTGGCTTGGGGTCAGGGCCTCCCCGTCGTTGGGGTCGTTGCCTGGGGAAGCAATAAGGCGCGAGTTGAGTAGCGTCTCGACTTCTACCATGTGCGTGTGTTAGTCTGGCGTTGCCAGTTCCTTGTACCAGACGATGCTTGGTGGCCCTTCGAAATGGATCGCCCTCGGTGGAATGAATATCCATTCGACGCCTCACCCAGCGGCGTATGCCTGTAATCGATGCTTCTGCCCGGTGTAAGCTACCTGGAGATGCTTCAGGACGTTCGCTGCTCCCACGAAGTTGGTTGCGTTATTGTTGTACACCTTCTGAGACCCCGTCTGCCGATTTTAAATACAGACAGGAAACAGTCAGGGGAAAAACATGCAACAAGATCCAGGTGAACCACCTTAGACACAAAACAAACAAACACATCTACTTAGGGATCCCCATTGAATCTTAAGGCTCACATAATGGGCCACAGAAATCTGCGCTTCAAAGTCGATCAGCTGGTAAATCGCCCATGAAAATATAAACTTTCTGAGTTATATTGAATCCACACCATCACCTGACAATTCCGATCCTCCTTAGCATTTTGAGATGTCGGCTGTCAAAGCATACTTATGCAACCGAAATCGTGCATGGGTTAAATATACCACCCTTTTAATAGTTGAACCTACCATCAAAGTCTTGTTTTGTGAGATTGACGTTGACGTTTTTCTTGACGCATCGAAAACTAGCCCGAATGTGTGGTCACTATCACACACAGGACGCATTGATGGGAAATGTAATAATGCAGTTCTGGAGGAGTTGATGTAAGCGTTGTCATATGTCCAAGGTCACGAGATTCAACCATAAAATCGTTGTACATATTTCGTAGTACGAAATCCTTTTCAAGTCGGCGTTCTAAAGCTAAGAACCAAAGGTTGCAATCTCAAAGAATAAGCCCATTACTTTTGGACTCGATTTAAATGGCTATTTGACACAATTCATCCTAACAGTGTCGAAAAACTTTTTAGTACCATTTTAGACACAGACACAATAGAAAGGGTATATAACATTGGACTACAAGTAAAACATAATGATACGGAAAAGTTCATACAGTTCCTCGAAGCGACTTATGTAAAAGGAAGGGCGAGAAGACCAGATGGGCCTTAGGTTAAATGAGAAATAAAAATAACAGTGGACAAAGCGAAAGTATTTAATTGTTCGCCATGGCGATTGTCATACCCGGAAAAAGGAAATTGCAAGAAATATTAGAGGAATATTTGAGGGCTTGTACCATTCAGCCCAGCAGTTCTGAATATGCATAATCGATTGTGTTAGTTAAGAAAAAAACTGGAGATTTAAGAATGTGCATAGATTTTAGAAGATTAAATAAAGAATTGATTAAAGATAACTTTCCACTGCCGAAATAGATGATTTGTTGAACAGACTCGTGGAGAAAACGGTATTTACCAAGCTAGATTAAAAAAATGGATATTTTCATGCTTTTGTTAACAAGGAATCCATAATGTAACTCGTTTGGGACAATTTGAGTTTTTAAGGATGCCAATGGGATCAAAAAAATGTTCTCAAGTATTTTAAAGATTTATCAAGAGTATATTTTTAGATATGATTTGAGATAATAAAGTCGTTGTATATATGGACGACATTATGATAGCAAGAAAGTAACGATAAAGGGCTGGAGGCGGTAAAGAACTTTCCCATTCCGGATGAAACTCAAGCGGTACAAAGTTTTCTTAGACTTTGTTCTATAATCGAGAAACCAATGTATGATTTACTAAGAAATGATAGAGCATTTAAATTCGAAGTAAAAGAGCTAAAAGAGCTAAATTGTTTTTGGTACTTGAAACAAAAACTGTAAGAAGCGCCGGTGTTATCAATTTATGACTATAAGGATGACATTGAGCTGCATTTTAATGCAAGCGCTTTAGGATGTTACCTTACCGCCCCCCAAAGAGCTCTTTAGGCAGGGTAAGGTGGAGTTAAGATATTTAATATATCACATACCTGGTTCATGACTGATTATCGTGGCATACCCAATTATAGGATTATTTGCGTGGGTACCTTGTTCCCACTGGAGCAACGATTACCTTAAAATTGCCTCCTTTCATTTTTTCGCGGCGACTGGCAATAACCTTTGGCCGTACCTTCGTCACCCGTTCAGTTCAATGTTGTTAAAAAAAATGAATTCTGTAAAAAAATGAACTTTTAGTAATTATTGTCCATTGTTATAACTATACGATGGTGCACATAATTATACGCACCTGTTGAAGTGAGAGAGATGTACATTAGCATGACATTATATAAAGAAGGTTCGAGATGTCATGTAAAAAGATAATAAAATAAGCTATAAGATCAATAGTCAATAATTATAAGATGATGCAAATAATTATACGCATCTGTTAAAGTGAGAGAAATGTCAGCCTACACGGAATCATAAATGGCAGAGTAAAGATATCCTGTAATGACAGGTGAAATAAGAGATATTCATTGTTAATAACTATAAGAAATGCAACCACTTATGCGCACATACTGAAGTAAAGCAATGTCCTGCTAATTATCCATTGTCACAGCTATTTATGTTGTTGTTTATTTGTTAGAAGTTCCAGCTGTTTAATGTTTATCGATTATGAAGTTCGTTTTGGATATTGTTGTGTAGGTCTGATTTTCTACAGAAATTGTAGCTTGTTGATATCGATAGTGCGGACTGTGGGCCAGGGATGGGAGTACACCCAGAGAACCGATGAGCCAGACGGCGCGGCCCAAAAAGAAAAAAGTAGTAACAATATGGCGCTCAAATTGAAGAAGTACCCGGCTTCTTTGAAGTCGGGGCGGAAATCAAAAAAGTAAATAAAATATCAATGCAGGGACAGAGTTTCCCTTGGCTTTAGGATCCAATCCGCTGATGTCTTATGTGGCACGAGTAGGTGGCCCATAATCGCACAGCGTGTAGTGGAATCCGAGAAGCACGACGGAGGCAGATATCATCAGATTATCCATGAGTATGAGACGTTTTTCTTGTCGTGTTTGATGGCGGTAAGTCACGTTCGCATGTTGGCGAAACGCTTTCGACCGTTCATCGTAGCCTGGTGGTAGCCGCAATGACAAAGGCATCTTGTGATAAAAATGTGATATTCGGGTAGTTTTGTCAGATGTTATTTATTCATTTATTAGTTTGTTTGTCTCATTTTGTGTTAATGTTGGATGTGTGCTGACCGTAGTTATAAGAGCTTCGGAGACAGGTGACCCAGGACGATGTAGAATCGAGCCTGCACCTCTTCTTCACCCAGCATACCCCAAGAATGGCCAGAAGAGCGACGGAGGCGGATCTTACATGCTGTCCATTAACATAAGGAGTTTTCTTAATATAATATAATATAATGATGAAGCTTTTGCGACTTTCCATCATAGCCTGGTGGTAGCCGCCATGACAAAATAACCTGTCATAAAATGTGATATTAGGGTAGGTTTTGTTAGAGTTTGTTTAATTTTTACTATTTGTTTTGTCTCACTCTGTGTTTACGTTTGGTTTGTGCTGGCCGTAGTTATATGAGCTTCGGAGCCAGCTATAGATTAGATCCTGCGCCGCACCTGTAACACAGCATGCCCCAAGGGTGCCTAGAAGTCTGACAGAAGCCAAACAGACTTCAATATAGCGGTCCTTGAATGCCTTTCGTCAGTCAGACTGACGTACTAAGCATTTGACGAATGCTTAAGTATTCACTGTCCAGATTATGAGTAGAGAAGTAAGCATGAATTAGGATTTGTCTTCTCTTCCCCAAAGTATATGTAATTGATTTTAAAAAATATATAAAAATTATTTTTGTGAGTTATTTGTGTGGTCGATGTTTATTTATTTATAACTCATTATACCATGAATCCATTGAAAATTGGTAAAAAGGGTATTATGTATTTGTGCAAATGTATGTAGCAGGCAGAAGGAAGCATCTCCGACCCTATAAAGTATATATATTCTTAATCACCATCAATAGCCAAGTCGATCTAGTAATGTCCGTCCATCTGTCCGTCCGTTCGTCCGTCCGTCCGTCCGTCCGTCCGTCCGTCCGTATGTATGAGCGCAAGGATCTCAGAACCTATAAGAGATAGAGACTTGAAATTCTAGCTACAGGTCCACGCGCAGATCGAGTTTGTTTCCGATATTCGATAACTTGCCCCGTTTTCAAGTAATCGATAAAAATCGATCTCGAAATCCTGTTTTTTGCGCTATTTTGGTTAATAATAAGAGCTAGAGTCGCCAAACTTGACATATAGCTTCTAGAAGGCTAGTGCGCGTTTCCGCTAGAGCCACGCGTATTCGCCGAAGCGGAGGTCGCTAGGATCAAAATGAGAGGGTTGTAAGACACAGGAGCCTCCGTCAGCCTGCTGGGAAAAGGATGTCGAGGGTTGGTCGAGGAATTAAGGGTTACGGTACAACCTTACGTTTCAGTAGTCACAACCGCTTGAGGAGAGGATAAATCAATTATAGGTAGGGTAGAACTCCCAATCTCGTACAGGGAACAACAAAAAAATCATTTTATCTGCCCCTACCTGAAACATCGAGCCTATTTTGGGATTGATTTCATTGTGGGCCCCGAGAAGCTAATCGACTTGTCGATGACGCACTATGCGGAAGAAGAGGAAGAACTCGCAAGTGAGCCGGATTCATGGGAGTTGTCTAGGGAAGAAAGGATAGAGTTGGAGGCGCTCCAGCGGGCGTTTTTGTCTTTTGAACGTAGCGGATTAGGAACGACAGACTTAGAGAAGAACACCATCGACTTAGTGGAAGGTGCCCAACCATTCAAAGATAGGTCCTACCCGTTATCGCCATCGATGCAGAAAGTAGTGGATGATGAAGTGGACAAATTGTTGAGTTTGGGCGTTATAGAAGAGTGCAACAGCCCATGGAGTAACCGCACAACAGTAGTGCGAACGCCGGGTAAAACCCGTTTTTGCCTCGATGCACGCAAGGTCAACAATCTGACAGTGAAAGACGCGTATCCACAACCCTGTATAGAAGGCATCCTATCTAGGAAAGACCAGACCTATTAAATCTCCAGTGTGAATCTGAAGTTCGCGTATTGGCAAGTCGAACTCGACGACAAAAGCAAGCCCTATACCGCATTTATCGTACCAGGTAGGCCCTTATACCAGTTTTGAGTCATGCCATTTGGTCTATGCAATACAGGCCAACGTCTGGTTCGTCTGATGGACAAGGTGATTCCCACCGAGCTACGATCCAACGTCTTTGTGTATTTGGACGACTTACTAGTTATTTCCAGATTTTCAGACGCACTGAAGATATCTGCGACAAGTAGGCAAATGCTTAAGGGAAGCGAACCTCTCAATCGGACTGAACTAATCCAAATTTTGTTTATAGATAGAATCCCTTTTACATGCATCACTGCCCACGCCAGCTTAAAATGGTTGATGTCCATGAAGGACCTAAACGGGAGATTAGCTCGTTGGTCGTTGCAGCTGCAAGGCTACGACTTTACCATCGAGTACCGTAAAGACAGGCTCTATTGCGTAGTGTCGAAGCAGTGGGCAAGGTTCCAGAAGATCTTCTCGAATTTGAGACCCCCGAGTTCGAGTCAGCGGAATATCAGGTGTTGCTCGAACAAGTACGTCTTAATCAGGACAAACTGCCAAACCTGAAGGTTGTGGGGGTGTCGTGAAAACACTGGAGACCCTGCGTCGGCAGTTTTGCTGGCCCGGCATGGCTAGGCAGGTAAGGGATTGGGAAAGACAGTGCGTGACATGCAAGGAAATCAAGGCACCGAACCTCCTCATGCAAGTGGGTCTGGGAAAAAAGGTAGTGACCGAGTCACCATTCCAAAAACTGTATATCGACTTTCTGGGAAAATATCCACGTTCGAAGCAGGGGCACGCTTGGATCTTCGTGGTAGTCGACCATTTTTCAAAAACCACGTTTTTAAAAACGATGCGAAAGGCTACGGCTCTTAAAGTAGTGGACTTTTTGGTCAGCGATGTTTATATGGAATATCCGAGGTTATTCTACTTTCCAAACCATGATCGCAGTTTTTGGCATTTCGCATATGCGCACTGCAGTCTACACGCCACAGGGCAATGCAAGCGAGCGAGTTAATCGTGCCGTGTTGTCGGCAATCAGGGCGTATGTGGAGCAAGATCACTGCGAGTGGGATCTCTGCCTTCCAGAAATAGAAGTTTTTTTACGCAATGCCATAAACAGGGAAAGTTACAAATTGGCTCGTAGGTTGGGGTCTCCGGGTGATCATGAGATTTCTCATTTGCACCCAGCAGACAAAATACACCTTATTAGCCAGCCACACCAGGCTAACGAAAGAAGTCGTCGGCAGTATAACGCTCGAGCCCGAGTGTTCCAGGCGGAAGAGTCCAAGAAGACGCAAGCGATTTTGGGAAGGCTTTTAACGCCAAATTTGCTAGGAAATTCTTAAAGGCCTGAGTAGTGCGTCGAGTAGGAAATAACTCGTATTTGCTAGAGGACCGCAAGGGAAGCCCCTAGGAGTGTTTCATGCAAAGGATATACGTGTGTAGACCAAGGTCGTGGTGTGCCTCACGTTAGGTTAAGGAAAGGGGTAGGCAGGCCAGGTTGGGTCCAGACAGACAAAATCAGACTTCGAACCCATTGCTTCCGTTAGCGACATTGCGTCGTTGGGAATCCTTGGGTGATGTTGCATGGGGAGGGCCCTAGCACCTTAGAGCGCCCCAAATTTCGCAAGGGTGGCAACGCCCGACTTGCAATCCACGGCGCCGAAAGGGGAACGAAAAGGGGCGATTGCTATTGGCCACTTGATTTGCTACTAAAGAGATTAGAAGGAGAGAAGATCGCATGCCCTTGGAAATGCCCTTGGCCTGCAGATGTGCATATGGGCAGCAATGGTAACCACCGTTAAATGTATTCGTGTGCCGAATTTCGGCACTTATGATGTTGCTACCCAAATGTACAGCAGGGGGTCGATTTTAAGTTAACCGCAGCGTTTTATAGTTTCCGGCCAATCGAAACGAAAATTAAGGCTATAATTTTTATATCTGTCGAGACCTGCTAAAAAACGTCTGGATAAGTTCACCAAAATAATACGACTTTTATCGTATATATATAATACACACGAAGGATAATCGGGTGGTGGAACATTAAAAAAACAACTTCGTTTCGTGCACCAAATATTTATTAGTATATTTAGTGCTCAGCCCAGCCTCAAAATTAAACTACAATAACAAAATAAATTCCCCGTGTAAAATACACAAAGACGTTGGATCGTAGCTCGGTGGGAATCACCTTGTCCATCAGACGAACCAGACGTTGGCCTGTATTGCATAGACCAAATGGCATGACTCAAAACTGGTATAAGGGCCTACCTGGTACGATAAATGCGGTATAGGGCTTGCTTTTGTCGTCGAGTTCGACTTGCCAATACGCGAACTTCAGATTCACACTGGAGATTTAATAGGTCTGGTCTTTCCTAGATAGGATGCCTTCTATACAGGGTTGTGGATACGCGTCTTTCACTGTCAGATTGTTGACCTTGCGTGCATCGAGGCAAAAACGGGTTTTACCCGGCGTTCGCACTACTGTTGTGCGGTTACTCCATGGGCTGTTGCACTCTTCTATAACGCCCAAACTCAACAATTTGTCCACTTCATCATCCACTACTTTCTGCATCGATGGCGATAACGGGTAGGACCTATCTTTGAATGGTTGGGCACCTTCCACTAAGTCGATGGTGTTCTTCTCTAAGTCTGTCGTTCCTAATCCGCTACGTTCAAAAGACAAAAACGCCCGCTGGAGCGCCTCCAACTCTATCCTTTCTTCCCTAGACAACTCCCAGTGAATCCGGCTCCACTGGCGAGTTCTTCCTCTTCTGCCGCATACGCGCGTCATCGACAAAAGCCGATTAGCTTCTCGGGGCCCACAATGAAATCAATCCCAAAACAGGCTCGATGTTCCAGGCAGGGGCAGATAAACGGGTAAAAATTTGTTGGTCCCTGGACGAGATTGGCAGTTCTACCCTGACCTATAATTGATTTATCCTCTCCTCAAGCGGTTGTGACTACTGAAACGTAAGGTTGTACCGTAACCCTTAATTCCTCGACCAACCCTCGACATCCTTTTCCCAGCAGGCTGACGGAGGCTCCTGTGTCTTACAACCCTCTCATTTTGATCCTAGCGACCTCCGCTTCGGCGAATACGCGTGGCTCTAGCGGAAACGCGCACTAGCCTTCTAGAAGCTATATGTCAAGTTTGGCGACTCTAGCTCTTATTATTAACCAAAATAGCGCAAAAAACAGGATTTCGAGATCGATTTTTATCGATTACTTGAAAGCGGGGCAAGTTATCGAATATCGGAAACAAACTCGATCTGCGCGTGGACCTGTAGCTAGAATTTCAAGTCTCTATCTCTTATAGGTTCTGAGATCCTTGCGCTCATACATACGGACGGACGGACGGACGGACGGACGGACGGACGAACGGACGGACAGATGGACGGACATTACTAGATCGACTTGGCTATTGATGGTGATTAAGAATATATATACTTTATAGGGTCGGAGATGCTTCCTTCTGCCTGCTACATACATTTGCACAAATACATAATACCCTTTTTACCAATTTTCAATGGATTCATGGTATAATGAGTTATAAATAAATAAACATCGACCACACAAATAACTCACAAAAATAATTTTTATATATTTTTTAAAATCAATTACATATACTTTGGGGAAGAGAAGACAAATCCTAATTCATGCTTACTTCTCTACTCATAATCTGGACAGTGAATACTTAAGCATTCGTCAAATGCTTAGTACGTCAGTCTGACTGACGAAAGGCATTCAAGGACCGCTATATTGAAGTCTGTTTGGCTTCTGTCAGACTTCTAGGCACCCTTGGGGCATGCTGTGTTACAGGTGCGGCGCAGGATCTAATCTATAGCTGGCTCCGAAGCTCATATAACTACGGCCAGCACAAACCAAACGTAAACACAGAGTGAGACAAAACAAATAGTAAAAATTAAACAAACTCTAACAAAACCTACCCTAATATCACATTTTATGACAGGTTATTTTGTCATGGCGGCTACCACCAGGCTATGATGGAAAGTCGCAAAAGCTTCATCATTATATTATATTATATTAAGAAAACTCCTTATGTTAATGGACAGCATGTAAGATCCGCCTCCG